CACCCCCACCCCCACCCCCACTCTCGACTACGGCTCTTGCACACCACCACCATCGAATTCTTCCATTGTATCATCCAACAACAATTAGATACAAAATCTAATGTCCCTGCCACCACCATTGCACTTAGCAAACTTAAGCGCCACTACAAATGTCGTAGATAATGTTAGAAAAAATAAATAAATTGAAGGGCTGACTTTGACATAAATTTTGTGTCGGACCCGTTTGTTTATTTTGGAAGATCAAGATTGATTTGCCTTCTCCTACATGAGAATATCGAAATCATATATTTACTTACCAAAAACGATGCTCAGGTGAATGAAAAATTGGAGTTCAAAGTATTTGAAGAGGTTTTGTGTAGGAGGGAAACTATAAAAATATTTATCTATATAAGAATGAAGTTAAAAATAAACTTAATAAGAACATTAAGGTGTTAAGAAGTGATCGAGGTGTTGAGTACGAAGCACAATTTGCTGAATTCTGTGCACAACGCGAAATCATATATAAAATCACTGTACCTTATTCTCCTTAACAAAATGATGTTGTTGAACGGAAAAATCGTATCTTAAAAGAAATGATGAATACAATATTAGTAAGTTCAGGGTTACCTCAGAACATGTGGGGGGACGTTGTGTTATCAACAAATTACCTTTTAAATAAGGTGCTCCGAAAGAAAATGGAAAAGATCTCTTATGAGTTATGGAAAGAAAGAAAATCTTCATATAAATACTTAGGAGTGTGGGAGTGTCTTGCTAAAGTGACTGTTCCAACAACAAAGAAGGTAAAGATAAGCCCAAAAATTGTAGATTGGATCTTCATAGGCTATGCAAATAATAGTAGCGCTTATTGATTTCTTGTACATGAGTCTAAAATCTCAGACATACACAAAAGCACGACAATGGAATCCTGAAGTGCTTCATTCTTTAAACATGTATTTCCGTACATATACAAAGAGGAAGTAAGTTCTTCTAAATGGACACATGAGATTATGGTTGAAAACAGTTAGGACCAAGAACTAGAAGAGGAGATTGAGGTTAAACCAAGGCGTAGCAAAAGGGAAATGACAGAGAAATCTTATGATCCTGATTTTCTGACTTATATGCTACAAAGTGAACCTCGAACCTTTCTAGAAGCTGCCAATTCTTCATAAGGAACTCAGCGGAAAGAGGCTATTAAAAGTGAAATAGATTCCATT